GTTAGATACCACCACCTCACCCCGTCCTACAAAACGCTTTGTTCCAAGTAAAAGATTGCTTACGTAAACTGATATTGGTAAATTCTAAGGGTAAATTGTTAAGTTAGGAAAACTGTTTGGCTTTAAGTCCTAAAAGAATGACTTTATTTCTTTTGTTCTTTAATTCTTTTATTTATTCAATAATGTTTTCTGAGCCCTCAGAAATGCCTGTTGCACAAGCAACAAAATCAAAAGTAAACAAATGGGATTGAATTAAACCACAAAGCTTCTGCACAGCAAAGGAGACAATTAATACAGTGAAGAGACAACCCACAATTGGGAGAAAATATTTGCAAACTGTATATCTGATAAGTGGCTAATATGCAAAATACATGAGAAACTCAAACAACTCAAAAATTGTTTACAAAAGAAAACAAATAATCCAATCAAAAAATTGGGCAAAAGACCTGAATAGACAATTCTCAAAGGAAGACATAGAAATGGCCAATAGGTATGTGAAAAAAAGCTCATCACCACTAATCATCTGAGAAATGCAAATTAAAATTGCAATGAGATACCCCTTACACCTGTTAGAATGGCTGTTATTAAAACGATGAAAGATAATGTGTTGGCAAAGGTGTAGAGAAAAGGGAAAACTTACACACTGTTGAGGGACATGTAAATTAATGTAGCCATTACAGAAAACAGTGTGGAGGTTCCTCAAAAAACTAAACATAGAATTACCATGTGATCCAGCAATCCCATTTCTGAGTACATATCCAAAGGAATTGAAATCAGTATGCTGGAGAGAGAGCTGCACTCTATGTTCATTGCAGCATCATTCACGGTAGCTAAGGTATGGGTGCAACCTAGGTGTCCATCATCAGATAAATGGATAAAGAAAATGTGGTATGTATACACGATAGAATACTATTCAGCCTTTAAAAAGGGGGAAATCCTTATATATGTGACAACATAGATGAATCTAGAGGACTTTATGCTAAGTAAAATAAGCCAGGCACAGAAAGACCAGAACCACATTATCTGACTTACGTGTGTAATCTAAAAAAGCTGAACTGATGGAAGTAGACAATAGACTGATGGTTACTAGAGGCTGGGGGAGAGGGGGTGGATGGGGAAAGAGAGAATGTTCATCAAAGGGTACAAAGTTTCATTTCGGCAAGAGGAATGAGCTTTCTTAATCTACTACACAGAATGGTTATAATAAATAATAATGCATTGTATATCTCGAAATCACTTGAAGGGTAGACTTTAAATGTTTTTGCCACAAAAAATAAATATGTGAGATGATGTACTTGTTAATTAGCTAGATTTAATTATTCCACATTGTAAACATATATCACAGCATACATTGTATACCATAAATATATACAATTATTATTTTTCAATTGAAAAGAACATAAACAATTTAATGACGGGCCGTGTAAATGTAACGAGCTAAATAAACAGAAATACATGATGATGAGTGAATGCGATGCTGGTGGGAGCATCCTTAAGTCGGATAATTCGGAGAAAGCTCATTCTGAGCTGAAACTTGAAGATTGAGAATGGACCAGTCATTTGGAAGTCTGGAGGGAGGATATTTCAGGCCAGAGGCCCAGCAAGAGCAGAGAGGTGAGCTTGTGGTGTCAGGGCAGTGGTCCTGGAAAGTGAACAGGTGTCAGAACCACCTGGAGGGCCTGTGACAACTCAAATTCCTGAACCCCAACCCCAGGCAGTATGTCTGGGTGAGGCCTGAAAATGTGCTTTTCTCTCAAGATCCCAGGGGGTGCAGATGCTGCTGGTTTAGGGGCAACACTCTTGAGCATCATTGTATTACAGAGGAACTGAAAGGAGGAAGGGATGGCTGGAGCATTGTGAGCTAGGGGCAAGTAGCAGGAAATGAGGCTGGAGAAGGAAGCAGCCCTATGATCTCAACCTTGAAAGGAGGTACAAGTTTAGTCCCGGATTGATGGGAAGTCATTGAAGGTTCTCACTTGAAAATGTTCTTATTCTTGGATGGTTACAATATAGTCAGTCTTCCAGGATTATCCAGTTCTACATAGTGTTTACTCCTTAATGCACGTGAAGCACATTCACTGGAATTGGAAATAACCTGTAACTCTCTGTATTCAATCCCTGACTAACCTTTGACAAACGGGAAAGACCCATTTCTGCTCACTTTGCAGAGAACAGATGTGCTCCCATACTCATGTTTTGGAATTATGAGACAAAGGCAAGTCAGAGGTGGCCAGAATTCAGATCAGTTCAACATTGACTCAAACACTTTTTCTGCACCTGCACAGTAGACTTAGTGCAGCAAGGACATAGCCAAAGCATACTGCATGATTTCAAACAGCAAGCAGCATTCAATCTTTTGATGATAAATTGTAAAACCATGAAACAATTAGAGGATTATAGAAGCAGAGGACAGTGCAACTGAATATTTTCACGTGCAAAAATTAATGATGCAGATAATAAGTGCTATGGCCACTAAGAAGAGAGAGCATAATTGTTTCAAGGCACTGGGATTGTTTTTATCTGGGGGAAACATTTGGGCTGGTCCTTAGGAAATGGTTAAAATTTGGCAGTTAGACCAGAGGGGGAAAGCATGGAAAAGCCTTTGTCTTCAAATTCAGTCAACATGCAGAGAATTACTGTGTTTTCCCAAAGTTTTTGCTGTTCTGCTGCCTTTCAAGGGAAAGCCTTCCATGTGTTTTTGATTCTTGAGTACAATTAAATTACTAGCCCATTGTCTGGTGAGAGCTGTTTGGTCAGGAGCCCTGTGGACTTCTCAGAAGCTTTCATCCTTTGAAAGAAGCTGTCCTGATTTTCCATTGTTAATGAAACTTGTAGGACACAATGCTCAAGTTTAAGACCCACTGAGAACATGACCATGCACCTCCTTTCATCTCTACATGAGGGAACCACATGGCAAATAGGAACTGCAGAAACCCAGCAGCAGTGCTATTCCCCCAGTGTTAGTAATTGTCTTGAACTTTCTTATGTCATATCCTAATAGCTTTATCTTTTGAGTGATGGCCTGTATTGCTTCCACCCTTCATGAATAAATACAAACTGCCTTGCCGCCCAGAAGATGAACACTTTTTAGTCGTGCATCTCTTTTGAACATGTATCCTTAGGACCCCTGCATACCTACATTTCAATATTTTGTGCCTGTGGGAGGCTTAACTTGTAATTTCTGAAACATGCAGCATTGCAATGCTTATATTTTTTACTCTGTCACATGCTTTTATGCATTAATTCCTGACTAATGCATTTGAGGAGTCAAAGGGCTAACCTTTTTTTGCTGAGGCTCTCAGGAAATTCACAGTCGTTCTGAATATTAAGATATTTCCTGTTAGCTCATGTAATTCCAAAGGTATAAGTTTATCTTAAATATCAATGTTAAGGCAGAAAATAGCAGTAGAAAAAGAGTGAATAATTAAAGAGAAGCACCAGGATGACCTAAAGAAAGATTTTAATGGCATCCTGTAGTACAGAAATCATCAAACTTTTTTGGTTGCCCACTCATATCAGTAAAAGATTTTTAGAATGCTTTTAAAATAGGTATTTTATTTATGTTATATACATGTATCATTATACTTATATATTATTAATATATGAAAGATATGCAAAATAGAAACAATAAATAATGAAATGAAAAAGGAACATAATTTCTAATATTTTCTTCGTATACCTCAAATAATTTTCTTTTTCATACTCTGGTATATGCACAGTCCACTTAAGAAAACACACTTCTAAAATACTCGTACCTACAGCAGCAGCGTGTGTAGTGCAATGGCAATGGTTCTCAAACTTTAAGCTGCATCAGAATTTCCTGGAAGCTTGTGAAGACAGATTTCTGCCTGCTCACCAATGTTTCTAATTCAGTAGGTCTGGAGTGGAGCCCAAGCATTTGCATTTCTAACAAATTCACAGGTGCTTCTTGTCTGAGGACTAGGATTACACTTTGAGAACCACTGGTGTCATTAAGAACATGAGTCTCAATGTTACTCTGTCTTAGTTGGACATCAGCATCCTCTAATTACCAAATTTACCTTGGTAAAAAATTATTTTTAGGGCCGGCCCGGTGGCGCACTGCTACAGTGCGCCGCTTGGGAAGTTCAGCGGTGCTCCCGCCGAGGGTTCGGATCCCACATACAGACTGGCCACTCACTGGCTGAGCGAGGTGCGGGTGCAGCACCGAAGGTTGCGATCCCGTTGCCAGTCCCGGTCCAGTACAGGCGCGACACTGAGGGTTGCGATCCGTTGCCGGTCACGAAAAAAGACAAAAAGGAAAAAAAAATTATTTTTAAAAATTATTTTACCTTGGATAGATTATTTTACCTCTCTGAGCTCAGATTTTTAAATATGTAAAATGGAAATAATCATAATTACTTACCTCTTAGAGTTTCGTGAGAGCTTATTGAGATGATATGGATAAATTGCATAGTACCCAGTGCTCATCACCTACAATACACCAATACAGGTTGGTCGCTATATCCTCCACCTCCTTTCCCTTCACTTCCTCCTCCTCCTCACCATCATTATCATCAACATCAAATGTCTTTTTAATGTCATGAGGTAGACTTAGGGAATTTGGATTTTAGGATAAAATATTGTGCCTGACAAGAATCATGGGAATGCATTTTTTTTTCTGCTTTAGCATTATACATTAAGAAAGCTCATGTTCCAAATGAGATATCTTTCTAGTTGAATAATAGAAACAAAGCTCTTTTCCAAAGTCTGTCTAAAGGAGAACAGTGTGTTCAGCCCTCTCCCTTTTGTGTGTAACTGTTGATATTTTGTGGCTAAGTCTGTATTTCTGTCATCTTTTTTATATGCTGAATGAATTCTTGTTGCATGAGATTGAGTTGCCATTTTTGGTGATTGTGTCTTTGAGTGTTTGGGAGCATGAGAATGGTAAATACAGGTGACTTCTTTGAATTTCATTAATTTTTAATATTTCTTCTCTCTCTCTTTTTTTCTTCCTTCCATCTCTTCTTATGCATTATTAGGACCCAGTACTACCTGCCAGGAAGATTCATGTGCCAACCAGGGAGTCTGCATGCAGCAGTGGGAAGGCTTTACCTGTGACTGTTCTATGACCTCTTATTCTGGAAACCAGTGCAATGACCGTAAGTACAACCTTTTCATGCTGGACATATTTTCATGGGGTTCAGAGGTTCGAAGAAACCTTAAGGACAATATCTTTTCTGAAAGATTCATATGTAATTCTCTCCTCCAGAAACATGGAAAACAAAGGACTAGTGCTCCTATGGGAAGAGCAAAGAGACATTTCTTGTTCAACAATACTAGATATTCTTTTATTTGCTTAGATCTGTGTTTTTTCTATGGATTAGAATATCTATGACTGAGACAGAAAAAAGTCAGGCAATATTTTTGTTGTAAGGGGTTCAATTTACTATTAATTAAATGATCTAGATAACAATTTTGAGACTCTTCCCATTTGCATTGCCAAGAATTTAGAGGCTATTTAAATAACGAAGCTATTTTCTAAAAAAGTCTGAGTTTAGGGAACTTCTTGGGCTTACAGACACTCAGAGTTTATTAATTCTTCCGGTTAGAAAATTTTAAAGCATTCTCCGAAGTCTCTCAAGTATAAGGCAAAGATTCCTTCTGGCTGAATTTATTGGTGACTATTTGCTGTTCTGTGTGTATGTGCATTTCTATTTTGTGAGTATATTTTATATGTATATATCTGTGTATTTGGTTCATATTGTAAGTGAGCCTCGTGATTGTTATTATTGTCCACTAGAGGTGTTTCAAGTGCATCAGTTAATTTAGTTCTAAGAGAAGACTGCTTTCATGGAGGTGATTCTAGCACTGATGGTGGAGATACTTCAATGCTGTGGTGATCTGTAACCTGTGTCTCCACTTCCTTCTCATGTCATTTTCCTAACATGGCCACTATAAAGACAAGCAAACACTTGAAATTTCTGAATACCTATTGCAAAGAGATTTGTTAAAAAGTCCTGACTGGGTGGGTCCTTCTGACCTTCTGATTTTCTAAACGCAGCATTTGTGGTAGAAGTTTGTGTTACTATCCAAACTCATTTGGCCTCTTGGTTTCATAAAAATGATGCATGATGTTATCTGAGCAAATAGTAAGTCAAGTTAAATTGTGCCCATATGGGAGCAGGAGCGAATTACAGTGCTATGTTCCTTGTGCCTGTTTGATTTTCCTTGATTTTTTATTTGTCAACTTTTTGCATGTGTGCAGTTGTCTCTTGTCATTCTCTTTTTCATTTTTCTCCGTAGCTTTTTGTTCCATATGCTCTTTCATTCTCTTAAGATGCACTAAGGAGAAACAAATGGGAAATCTGGCAGTATAAAGAGAAAATTATGTGATAACCATTCATCTAAGTATAAGTCTTATGTCTCCATATCTGTCATGCAAAGGATACAATGTCTGCAGAAGGCTTTGCCATCAGATTGCTCTTGCCAAGTATTTTGGTATTAATGAAAATACTGTCTCCATATTTACAACTTGGAAATGATGTTCCACTGTGAAACAGGCAATGATGGGCCTTTCCAGAGTAGCTGGGGAATTGTTCTATATATTCTTTCTTTTCTGTTCAGTTTGCCTGCAAAGGACTCCTTAGGAAAGTTTTTTTCTCTAACTGGCAGCATAATGCTTTTTTATCCTCACAAGTTTATTTCATATCATGCATACATATCACCTCGGGTAGGAAATGATAAGGAACAGACTGCACGCAGGAAAAACAGAAGAAAGGTAAGTTACTCTAACTACGGAGCATGTCCACAATCCTTGCAAGGTATGTATGTATTTTTTTTTGTCATTGACAAGCTCCTCGCTGTCGCCAAGGGCCAGGCATTGTTTTCTGGTAAAAATCAACCAGGATTCTTTCCAGCTTTCTGTGATTGTTTCTGATTCTGTCAAAAGCAGACTGTGTCTCAGTCCAGGATGCGGACTATCCCGTTATCTGACTTGGACAATTTGTTAGTGTGTAATAAAGTACCAGAAATAGGATTGGGAGCATGCCAGCTTTCCTTTGTGGCAGTAGCTTCTCATGCTTCAAAAATGTTTCTAAGATATCCAGGCTTAGGGTAATGCATTTTGGATTTCATTCCATACAAAATGCAGTTGAATTTTTGTTTGTAGAAGATCTGAGAGCCCAAATCACTAACAGAATCTGCTTGCCTAGTCCCCTCCTGTAGCATGGACCAGGGCTTCTTGATTGAATGGCTATATGGAAATGAAGCAAGTACATTTTAGTTTCAGAGTGTGATAAATATATAGAATTCAGATATACAGGGTGAGACTAGAAAGTTAGGATATAAACTTTTAATGAAACTCAACCAAATATATCAAAAGAGTAGGTTGCTTGATAGTGTTATAATGGCTGTCCCTATATCCAGTGATTGGCATTCAAGGTAGTGGGGGAACTTCTTTTTTGGAACTAGCATTAGAGCCAGTTTTCTCCATCTAAAAAACCACCCTCACTACCTTACGTCATAGACCATTATTTTCTATATCAACCCTGACCCTTAGAGATATAATTTGCTATTTTGCCTCACCGACATCTTCAAGATGAAGTTATCTATCTGATAGTCTACGTGCTTGCCTGTGTTAGCAGATTCTTGGCAGCTTAGCCTGCATCAGGATTGGCTCACACTCAGTGTCACAAGCAGAGTTGAACAAGCCTCATGCTTATAATTGGCAAAAGCAGTGGGGGAAAGTTTCAAAGAAAGGAGAAAGAATGCAATAGGTTAATGGAAGAGGAAGAGGGATGGAGGAGAAGGAATATAGAGAAAATCAGAGATTGAGTCTTAAATGGAAGAGCACAGAAGCCATTAGCAATTGCTTTGGTAAATTGCATGTCACAGGTCACCTGTCTTTGACCTAAATATCAGAAATACATTATGAGCAGAGCAGCATCAAGGAAATCTGGCCTTTACCTGATTCTTGGGAAGATGCAGAATGTTGCATATATCTAAAATAAATTGTGTTCCTTAAAATATGGTCATAAGACCATCTGAATTTGTTGGACATAAAATATAATCACAGATGGTGTTTTGGGGTGGGGGTGAGGGAAATGTGGTTTTGGATCTCTCATGTTCCCTGAGATGTTTCTCAGAGATTGATCCTCAAGTAATGGAAATGAAAAAATCTCAAACAAGAATAGAAACCTTTTCAACAGGAAAATGGCTAAGTTTTTATATTTTCCAAAATAACGTATTTAGTCCATCATGTGTAAAAAAGTTAATTATATCTGGGCATGAATTGTCAGGTTCTAAAGAACTGTCTGCATTTTAAGGTCTTCCTTACTTCTTCTGGCATTGGTTCTGTCACTTGTGACGTTTGGTTTTCTTCTTGCCTGTTTGCCAAATACAGTGTTTGCTTGACAATTTTAAGGCACTGTCACATAGGTGTAGCTTCCCTGAGTAGTGTGTATGTTTTGAAACTTCATCTCATTTAGTATATGTAGACCAAACCTGGGTGGTTTACACTTTATTCCATCATTGTTTTAGAGAGCATGCTGCATTGATGGAGGCAGTGGGGTAAATTTTAGGTATAGTCTTACAAAGATAGCCATGCAAAGCTGATGTGGTGGTGGTGAAGGTGTGACACTTGTTCTCTGGAGCTGATTACCTTGTGTAAGAGTGATTCCCTTGCATGAGGTAGAAAACAAAGATCACCTCATCGGAAACCCAGGTATATTGATTTATTATTTGTCTTATGTAGGTTTAGGTACAATTTTACACCATTATATGTACAGTAGTCCTCCTGACCCACAATTTTGCTTCCTGCGGTTTCAGTTGCCTGTGGCCAACCAAGGTCCACAAATATTAAACTGAAAATTCCATAAATAAACAACTCATAAGTTTGAAATTGTGAGCCATCCTGAGTAGCATGATCAAATCTTCAGCCATGCTTCTCTGTCTCACCCAGAACATGAATTATTCCTTTGTCCAGAGTACCCACATTGTATATACTCTCTGTCCTATGTATTTACATTGATGTCATTGACATCATCTGTTCCTGACATCCGTCCATCCCCATCGTCATGGCTCAATCATCCAGTATCACTTGAAGCAGATGATCCTCCTTCTGGCATATTGTAAGACGGTCAATAGTAGTCTAATGCTAGGTCACGATGCCCACGTCCTTCACCTCCCTTCACGTCGTCCCATAGGCAATTTACAGGATCACGTCATTACAACAAGAAGCGTGAGTACAATACAAAAAGATAGTTTGAGAGAGACCACATTCACATAATTCTCATTACAGTATATTGTTATAATTGCTCTATTTTATTATTAGTCATCATTGTTAATCTCTTAGTGTACCTAATTTATAAATTAAACTTTATCATAGGTATGTAGGTACAGGAAAAAACATAGTATATATAAAGTTTGGTACTATCTGTGGTTTCAGGCATTCACTGCCCCGTCTTGGAACATATCCCGCACTGATAAGAGGAAACTACTGTAATGGTAAAATTATAGGGAGTTTCTTATTTTTAGGTTGACTGTTAGGGCTGCTTTGATCCTATAATAGACTTAATATAGTGTCCAATTAGACCTAAGGAAGGTCACATAAGTAACATTCTACAAAGATAATCTTCAGTTCTTCTGAAAAATTTATTACCAGGGGTGTTGGCTTCTCAGAGGGTGAGCACCACTTGAAAATCAACTTATGGCACATGTGTTTGGGCTACATTTTAAGAACAAAAGAAATGGAAACTTACAAAGGTTCTTATAGGTATATTCTTTTTGGATATTGGGTTCTTATTGGTATTTTAAATCAAAACTGAGAGCCTGGGAAATTCCGGCATGTTGTAGCCATTACACCATCAGGCGAATCTGGAATCCCTTTCTCATATCGTGTGACAATGCCACTCCCTTTGGTAGCCTGCTGTTAAGTTTCTCTCTCTTTCACTCTCTTTCACAACATTAAAAAATGCTGTGCAATATCCGACTCTCCTGCACACACCCACGCATATGCAAAAGGGCTGTCATTTTTATGGACTTTGTGAAAATAGTGGTTTTAAACATCTCATAGCTGTTCTTAACAGCACTGTTGTCTTTTACCAAGTTCAAGACAACTGTTTTGAGTCACATACAATTTGGGGGTCTTGTTACTGTTGCTCTGCCCTGGAGAAACAAACATGGAATAGTCTGTGTTACATGATTTCCTAACAGACATCAAGTTCCTGGGTTTAGGAGTTAGGTGTTCATAATGGCTTTGTGGGGTGAAAGGAAGGGAATCATTGTGGGTCCTC